AATTTTCTTTGGAGGATACCATGGAGAGATGGATGGAAGAATGGATCACATCAAATGAATTTGCCCAAAAAAAAGAAAAGGGAAACAAAAACACAAAATCAATAGCATGAAAGACAGGTTACGCTTTGTTTGCCAAGGGGTGTGGGGGGATACGCAACATGTTTGTGTTGGGTAATGTTGTCTTTGTTTTGGGGTTTGGGGAGACCGGGGGCAGACAAACTTCAATATTAATTTCCATCATCGATTGTTGTGAGAAGAAAGAAAAAAAGAAAAGTAATTTTAAAGTTTTCCCGGAAAACGTTAAAATTTCCATAAGAATTTCCTATTTTTTTTTTGGTCTCCCGATGAAAGTAAATTTCCTTCGAGTCCTGTAAATAAAGTCCCTTTTCATTTTGATAAGGGTCATAGGTCATATGATGGTAGTCTTTAAACCACTTGCGGTTATCTCAAGCTCACCTTTTTGTTGTGTTTATCTTTGATGCATGAAATTCAGCTTGGAGGTTGAAATTAATTTGGGTACGGAAAATAAATAGTTGTTTGTGAGGAATGACAAATTTTATTAAATTTGCATAGGCTGGGGTCTTTGGAAAATTGTTCGGCAAAAGTTCGCGCTTTGAATGGCATTCGAAGAACTCTGGGAAGTCAGAAAGATATGGGATGTGACAAACCAAGGACTTTCGTAAATCATGTAATATTCTATGCAACTAATATCATGTATGAAACTCTTTACATTTTGGTGGTGTAGAACTTCTCAAGACCTTTCCAATGCGGCAACATTTATCTTTTTCGGATTACTCGTTCCTGAAATATAGCCTTGGAAAAACATGCTCAAAATTCAAGTTGATATTTTTTGAACAATTATTAAATAACTTCTGTTCGATTTAATTTGTGTAATTTTCAGCCAGACCCCTAACCTAACCCCTAAAAATACGTATTTATGAATTTCTGTTCAAAAAAGTCTGAAATAAACTGCGTATGATAAATTTAATTTTTGACCAGTGGTGCGTATGAGTATTTTTAATTATTGGGTATTTTTATTAATTTGGCCATAACTACCACAATTTTTGGGCTATTTGTAAAATAAAACCCAGCATGGGCTCAGAATATGTTCGCGCTAAAACCAAAATTGCCAAAATTATTATATCAATTTCACACAATGCACCAATGAGCAGTTTTTAAACTACTTTGTCTTCATTAGATATGATGGTAATTCCATTTTAATATTTCGGTTTAATTCGTATGGGAATATAAAATATGATCCACTTTTGTTATTTTTATCACACAGTATGCTGTATTTTTAATGCCTACCACTTTATTCGTCGTTCCTCAAATGTTGGTTAATAAAAACACCCTTTCAGATGAGGTTGGTATTTCCTTCTCCAAGGACTTTCACCATCAATGTTATATTTTTTGTAACAGAGGCTAATTATGAAATCTTTTACGGCTAGGACGAATAGAACTCATTAAGACCTTTTCAAAGCGACCACATTTATCTTCATGGGATTTCTAGTTCCAGAAAAATGGGCTAGGCAAGACGTCCGTAATATTGAAGTTGATATTTATTAATTTTTATTTTTTAACGGATTTATTTTCAATGAAATTTGTGCGGATCCTGGCCAAATATTCATTTAAAGTATAGTAAGCGCCCTCAAATATGCAAATTCGTCAATATTCGTTCAAAAAAGTTGCACATATGCTGCGTATGATTTATTAAAGTAATGGCCGGGAGTGCGTATGAGTGGTAATGATTGTTGGGTATATTTAGTAATTTAGCCATAACTTCCACAATTTTTAAGCTATTTTGAAGAAAGAACCCATTTCGAGCTCAAAACATATTCCCGCTAAAACCAAAATTGTCAAAAATTCCACAATTATAAGCTAGGCAAGACGTCCTCATGGTTGAAATTGATATTGATATTTTAACTAAGTTATTTTCAATGAAAATTGTGTGGATCTTGACCAAATATTCATTTAACGTTTAGTACGAGCTCTTAAATAAGTGAATTTGTCAATTTTTATTTAAAAAAGTTACACATATGGTGCGTATGATTTATTTAAATTATGACTAGGGGTGCGTATGATTGTTATTAATTGTTGGGCATATTTGGTAATTTGGCGATAATTTCCTCAATTTTTGAGCTATTTTCAAAAACGAACCCATTTCTAGCTCAAAACATATTCCCGCCAAAACCAAAATTCTCAAAATATTTCTGTCAATTCCAAACGATTAACCAAAAAAACATTTTTATGCTACTTTACACAAATGGTATATTATTTTATTTAATTTTTTGCATTTAGTTTTAATTCTGATAAGGTTATGATATATATTCGTCTTTTGCCTATCCAGGCGATAAAAGATAAAAGACACTCCCCATTATCTCTCATTAAAAAACAGAGCATTTCATTCTCATTGCAATGCCAAGAAGAAAAATATGTTAAGTTAATTAGAACCTGTCATTACATACTCTCTCTCACTTGTTGTATAACCCCCGTTCAAAAGAGGATCAATGTTTGTGCAATGTTTCGCCTTCGTGTTTGTTTGCATAAAACGAGTTAATTTGAAACCCAACAATTTATGGCGAAATTTTTAATTAAACGTTAAATGAGAACTTGCATGGATGTGTTTTTGCAAATGACGATGCTGACGTTGTTGATAACATCAACAAATACATATCTACATTTCCATTTTAATATAACAGTAAATTTTCATTTAAATACGTGTATCGATTACATGTTTGTAAATATATTTGTATGTTTCGCACGAATGCAACACAACGCGTGAGTGTGTCTGTCAGTGACTTTGAAGTCACTTTTGTTTTGGCCATCAAAATATATGCAAAATGGTAATTTTCAACTTGATTAACAACTTAATTATTGTACAGGGAAATTACAGCATTTTTCCAGAACATAACATGACATGCTGAGGTTTTCCACGGGAATTTTTGTAGAAATTTCCAAACATTCCGAGAAATGCAAGGCAATAAAAAAATGCAAAACATTTAAAATAAAAGGTGTACGAAATTCAAGTTGCTCTACAAAAAAGGCAAATCAGTTAAAATAAATATTGGCTCCTAATGCTTTCAGGGAAATAACTTTATTTATAATTTCTTCTGAGCTTGGGATTTTAATTTCCAGCATCTAAACGCATTTGCTTGTTGAACAAATTTTTCTCATTAAAGACATATTTGCATATAGTACCGTTAGTGGATCTCAGGTGTGAATAAAATTGCAGTTTTCCACTAGATACGATATATGTAAACATTCTTTAAGATCGTGCTAATTTTATAGACGTCTGAACATGATATAATAATAAAATGTTCAAAAGTACTTAGGCATCTATCTTTATTCTAGTACCCTACTTCTGTATTATCAATCATCATGCAGTTACAAACTCTCCAAATTTTAATAAATTTTTAAAATTTCAAACGCCGATAAACCAAACGATATTCTAAGTATACCAACAATTCCCCGGTAGTGGATTCCCGTTAATTAAAACTCCATCAATTAATGTAATATGTAAAAAGCTATTTATTACTGCATGAAAATGTAATGCGATTGTATATTTAACAGTAATTAACAGCAATGGACATAAAATAATGGACCGGCAAATGGGATAAAGTAAAAATAAGGGTACTTTACATCCAGTGACGTTGGAACGGTTGTTTTCAAATCGAAATCATTTCGAAGGCTTTCGTCCCGGTGACATTTTAATATTTATGTTTGACATAATTGCATTGTGCCAGAACCTGCAAAAATCAACTATTTTTTGCAATTTTCTTCGATATCATGAAGGGAAAATCGGTTGTCGTGGTAAAAACTTTTACATTTTACATGCAGCTCTGGAACAGACCATTATGGGGTTGAGATATTTGACGAGAGGTATATTGCACGACAGGGTTGTTTTACATATTTAGCCACGCCTACAATTGTCTGTCGTTTTCCACATTCTGCAAATAAGAATCGTACCATAGTTAGAAATACGTTTCTAATCTATTGATCTTGTAGACTTTGGGACAGAGCAAGACTTTTCAATATCAAATATCGATAAATCGATCAATCAAAAGTCGACCTACATATCCCTGTATCTGTAACGGACAGTTTCTCTCAACTTCAGTAAAGAAAATGGTACTTCACATCTTGTAGTGTCGAAACAGTTGTCTCCCTCTCTAAATCATCTCAAAGGCTTTGAAATTTTAATGTTTATATTAAACCTTATTTTATGGGCATGATAAAATTTAGAAGTTAAAGTCATCAATCAAAAGTCGACCTACTTATCCCTACTTCTGTAACGGTCAGTTTTGATCAACTCCATGCTTCATAAAGAAATAAAATCAAAATGGCGAAAGGGACGCCGTTTTACAATTGAAGAAAAGATAATTTTTTTTATAAGCTAAGGCCTCAAACCTTATCCTTGTCCCTTTTCTCGGAAGCACGAGCCATTATATTCACAGGATCTTCACTAAGGTCTCAGTTCTTATCTGTGTCCCTTTTCTCCGAAACACGAGTCAACGTCTTCACAGGGAAGAGCTCTCCTTTTACGGATTACAAATTTAAAAAAGAAGACATTCTGTCAATCAGGCATTATCACGTGTTCCTGACTCCTGGCTCGCATAATTTACCATGTGTTCCCAGTCTTCACACAATAAGAAAAGATCACCTCCCCCGAGTCACTGTGAATCCCCGTGTACAAACAGGAATCGGAAGTTTGTCATGGAGTGCGCTACAACTTTCCTGGCACATCTTAGGTCTGTGTACATCGTTCTGGATTGCTAAGAATGGGGACGCGTCCTTCCCGACATAAACCAGTTACTCCTCGCATTTTCCAGAGATAGAAGGATATCCTACGCCACATGTACGTTAATTTGTTGAAATATTCTTCCCCAAGTAGCTGATAGCGGCGGATGAGTTATCCCGGCTTACGTATAGCCCTTATGCTCACTCTTTTTTATGAAAATAAAACTAAAATTTTTTAATAAAATTACTCATTTGTTTTGTATTAAATATTAATTTTAATTTTTTCTTTTTTTTACTTATAACAAAATTTCACTTTTCTTTACTTCTTAATTTCTTTACATTTTCTTAATGAGATTTTGAAATGAGAAAAATTACCAACAACAATTGTATTTTTAAGGCAGAGTACACAACAGCAACAACGAAAGCCAGCCTTAGAAAACAAACTAAGTCCGAACGCGGAATGATGGCAATACAGCATAGTTAAGCCTTGCAAAAGTCCATTCCATTCCATGGCTTAGTGTTTGGGCATTACAAATGAAATCACAAAGAGAGCATAATTTATTCAATACTAGATAGGGAAAGAGGGACGAGTTTAGATGGCAGGCAGGTGTTTAATAATTGTGACTGGCAACGACATTGTCATTTACTTGCCAAGGGCGGTGTGGTTTTGGATGTTGAATGCACCGCAGCCGCCGACGTTGCCATTAGTGGTGACTCATCTGCAGCAATGTGTGATGAGGCCGTTACATTTGACGCCAATGTCTTTGTGGCGGGTGAGGTCGAGGTATTGTGTAGGAAATTCAATGTCGTGGATTTATTTGAGTTAGAAGTTAACAAGGAGGTGGCAGAGGAGGATGGTGTTTGATTAGTGGCGGGAGATTTAAGTATGTGGACGGATACAGATGATTGTGTTTGAGCGCTGGAGGTGATGGCATTTGATTTCTTATTGTTATCATTAATGGCAGCTGCTGGATGTGTTGCATCCGCTGTTGTACTGCTGGCAGTGGTGCTACTATTTGTGGCTGATGTAGTTGTTGTTGTTGTACTTGCATTATTACGTTGTGATAATTTTGGTATTTGAAATTTTGAATTTAAGCCCTTCATAAAGCCCTCCATATTGGCCGCCATTGTGGGTGAGGCATAATGCAGGATCTTCAACATATCCGCCTGATGATCCAAAAGTGAGGCCGGCTGGGAATGTGATGATGAGGTATAGGGTGTTGGCAATGCCGGTGAGGTGGAAGCACTGTGTGATTTCTTGAACGATTTCCTGGGATAATCACCAAATGAATTTGTACTGTGACTCTTGGATAGGCCAAAACCCGATGAGGGGGAAGATGATTTTGTACTTAGGCTGCCAGAGGAGTTGGACTTTTGAAAGCTGTGTTTAGATGAGGATCTTGATGAATTTCCCGTTGATGAGGTTGATTTCTTTGAGGCCGGTCCACTGGACACTCCTGGTTTCAAACCTGTGTGGGGCTTTTTGCCAGAACTCGTAGTGGAGGAGGAGCTGGAAACATGCAACGAAGGGGAACCCCCACGCTGAGATGTTTTCAATGAAAATTTACTATTTGTATTCAAACTGCTGGATGAATATGATGATGACAAGGAAGCTGTGGAGGATGAAGAAACCTTGGCGGCTGATGAACTGGTCTTGTTGATGGTCATTTTCAAACCCTCCTGACTTGTCTTAACCATGTATTCATTATTGCCATTGCTGGATTTCATTTTACTGGCTCTCTCCTCACTGATGCCAGGGTGAGACATTGGCACTGTTACCTGTGGCCGTGGCTGTTTGACTTTGTCCGGCCGCTCCAAGCCCCCCGGCAGCGACACCGACAACGTTGGAGATTTGGATATTGTTGTTGCTGCTATAGCTGGTGTCGACGTCATCAAACTAACCTGACAAATGCGAGTTCAATTGACAATGCAGCCACATTCAGGGAGAAAAAATAATAGAAAGAGACAAAAAACAAACATTTTACATTGATAAAAAAGTTACCAATAATATTTAATTGAATTAAACAAAAAAAATCAACTTTAAGTGCATGCATAAACAAGATTTCTAGCTACTAATGTTTTAATTCCTTAAATAATTGGCAAAAAAATAAAAATTCTTTAATTTGAGGTTTTGTGCATTTTCCATTTAATTGGCCAAAATGCACACACACACACAATTACGCATCAATTATAAAGGGATTACATGAAATATGCACTATATTACAGTTATTTATACATACCACACACACGCATACAAGCATGCTCACACATACGCTCATGCAAAACATTGCAACCATTCATAAAAAAATGTTTACTACATTTGAGGTTATGTTTGCAACATTGATGTTCAAGGGAGTTTTTTTGTTAGAATGTGAATTGTTTTCTTTTTTTTGCACATTCTTTGAATGTTTGCTATTTTTTGATGCACATTCTTAGTATGCACTACGTATGCAATTATTTTTAACCTCAATTACATGGTGTCTTACAGAACTACATACTTACTTGGCACTTTTCCAAAACGTTGGTTTTTATTTGCATAATGTGTAAACCAAGTACATATACTTACGCGAGGAATGGGTAATTTCCAATATTAAGGAGTAGTAAGGAACTTTTGTACAGGGTGAGATAAAAAAACTGCAACCAACTTCAAGGGTGATAGTGTGATTTCTATACATTTGGCTGGAAAACCACAAGTGGCTATCGTTAGAGAACTTCAGCATTTAAATGTGAATAAATCTTTTGTGTACCATCGCTTGTTACCGTGATAATGGTAGCGTAGCCCGTAGCATCAGAATAAATGCCGAATATTATTGCGAAAACATTCTGGAGGGTTTATTAATGCCTTGGGCACGCAAACATTTTATCCGCAGACCTTGGACATTCCAACAGTACTCAGCGCCATCGCATTCAGCACGCGCCACCCAAAAATGGTTACAAAATGAGGTTCCTCACTTCATTTGCAGCTCACAATGGCCACTAAAATCTCCGAATACCAATCCCTTGGACTATTGTGTCTGGAGTATTTTGGAAAGCAAGGTTGGCACAAAAAAAAATACCAAAGTGTCGATCACCTCAAGCAAGCGCTTCGCCGGGAATGGGCCAAAAATACCGCAGAGCAACATTCGGGCAGCGTGTGACGGTTTCATTGGCCGTTTGAAGGCCATAATTCGTGCCAAAGGTGATCAATACGAACAAATCTAAACTTATTCTTAAATTTGATGCTTTTTCCGATATTTTTTGCTTTCATTTCATAAAATTAAAATGTAAAAATTATGGCGTTTGACTTTGTTGCAGTTTTTTTATCTCAAGTTTTTTAAAATGATAACTTTTTTAAGAATTATGATTTATGTTGAAACAATGCAGATTCATTCAGAAAAACGGAGATTCACTTTTTTTTTTTTTTGGAAAAAACTTATATTTCTTTAATAAAACGTGAATTTTCTTTTTTCCATATTTTTGAATAATTTGTTTATAATATTTTAAAAACTTTTTTTATATTTTTAAGTTATATTTTTATATTTTTTAATTATTTTTTTAAATTTTTTATTATTTTTCGAAAATTTTCTTATTTTAAAATTTGATTCTATTTCCGGCATTTTTTGCTTTCTTTAAAAATAAATTTAAAAAAAATTTAAAAATCATGGCGTTTGACTTTGTTGCAGTTTTTTTATCTCACCCTGTACAGTGCCGGAATCAAGATATGGGAAAAAGGGTGGGGAATTTTTCTCCATTTTTGAAAATGTTAAATTTTTTAAATGTTATGATTTATGTTGAAACTGTGCAGTTTCATTTAGAAAAACGCAGATATATATACTATTTTTTTAGAAAAAAAATTAAATTTTAAAAAAATATTTTCAAAAGAAATTTTCAAAAAAAAATTTTTTCAATGGACCTTAAAATTTGTTTTTTTAATAAAACTTTACTGGATTTATTATTTATTTTTATATTTTTTAATTATTTTTTTATATTTTTTATATTTTTAATTATTTTTTTATATTTTTTAATTATTTTTTTATTATTTTTAATTATTTTTTTATATTTTTTAAATATGTTTTTTATATTTTTAAATTATTTTTTTATATTTTTAAATATATTTTTTATTTCATAATTTTTGATTTCTTTTTTATATTTTTTAATCATTTATTTATATTTTTTTATATTTTTAAACTATATTTTTATATTTTTTAATTATTTTTTATATTTTTAATTTTTTTTTTTTTTATATTTTTAATTATTTTTTTATATTTTTTAATAATTCTTCTTTTATTTTAAAGCGTTTCAACAATGGCAAACTTCGAAATTTTTTGTTCGTATGGAATAATCAGTCAGAATGTAATGTAATAGATTTTCATTGCAAAATATTGCATCGGTCAAACCTAACTAAACCAAGTTTTCCATTGGGGACCATAAATCCTCAATCCATCAAACTACCACAAAACAGAAAAACAGCAAAAAAAACGACTATAAACTACGGTGTCTAGTGGCAGGATCAAACCAGTGTTTTTTGTTAATTTGCTAAATCAAAATCAAAAGAAAACAACAAAAGCTGGGTTTGGGCAGGTTAAACAAACTACAAAGTGTAAGCGGTTTTTTATAGGAACAATTTTTGTTTATATTTGTAGATTTCATTTAATTAATTTAATGTTATTGTCGATAATATTGTACATATAAAATCAATTAGGAATTGTTTCGAATTTTTTACATAACTCAACAAAAGTACAAAAAAAGGAAACTAAAAGAAAAATACCAATACAAAAAACTTTAAATACATTTTGGAAGTTAAATTAAATAAAGGAGGAGGGGTGTAGTACTCTTTTTTTCTTTGTTTCTTGGAAGCTACTAGGTGTATAGCAACGTTAATAATGCAAGCCAAACAAAAGCAACAACAAAAATTGTCTTGTTAAACTGTAATAAGGTGACTTACCGCAGTGGTAACACCTTTACGCATGGCCGAATTCAAATCCAAACCCGAAACAGAATTCGAACCGGTAGAGCCAGTACTGAAATTTGAGGCTGCAGCGGCGGACATAAGACTGAGGCCGGGCACATTTTTCATTTGTTGCATTTGGGCCGAGTTAACACCCATACTAGATTTAACAGCTGCTGCAGCGGCTGATTTTACAGCTGCCACAAGATTGGTGTTGGCCGTCGCGGAGGAAGTGCCAAGGGCCGAGCAGGAGGAAGATGATGTATTTGAATTTGCCATTGATCGAACCAAGGCGGCACTATTTAGTACAGATGATGCCGAAACTGAGGACACCGATGAGTTGGATGATTTATCTCCTTTGGGACTGGCAGCTGCAGCACTCTTCAATGTTGACATACTAGGCTTGCCCGAAGAGCCATGTTTGGGTGAATGTGTACCAAACGGTGACTTGGGACTATTCGAAGCGGTATTGTGTTTGGGACTGCTATAGACCGGAGAGTGTTTAGGGCTTGGCCTGGCTGAGAGAGATGAACCCGTTACCGAAGAGGCCAGTAGACCACCGGATGAGCCCTTGGGCGAAGAAGAGGGAGAGGGAAACTTCCTAGACCCAGCAGAGGCATCACTGGAGCCAGCTGGAGAGTTTTGCCTAGAAAAGATTTTTTCTGGTGGACCCATGGGTGAATCATCTCTACGTTTTTTACGTTTCTTTTCCTTTTGACCCTCCGCAGAGCCATCCATATTACGTTTACTGGATGATGTGGAAGAGGTCGAAGAAGATGTGGATGTGGATGAGGTGTTGATATTTGCAACCAAAGAATTCATGTTGTTCATAACTACTGCTCCTCCAGAGGACCCCGAGCTGTAGGAGGGCGAGTTGGAAGGTTTCTTGTCTTTGTTGTTATTGTGGGCCGGGGAGGTCGACGTTGAGCCGGCATTAATGGGTGTTATGGTAATTGTGGTTGAACCTCCCGCATTTATGGGACTATTAGAATTGTTGTTCCCTTGGCCCACCAAAGGTATTATTTCTATACCTCCCGTACGTTTAACATCCAATGATGGTGACGATGTTGTGGTTGTCGCTGTATTGTCCGCACTTATGGGTGTTATACTAACGGTGTTCTTAAGACTTGTGGTTTTATCTTTCCAAATATTTTTATATTTATCGGCAATTTCATGTTCTGCAATCTGTTGTTCCAATTGTTGCTGTTGTTGCGCTGTTTGTTGATGATGGCCCAAAGAGTTAATTTCGAGATTAGATTGCATTAGATTGCTGGCAGCCATTGACTCGGCCACCAAGTTGGCATTAATGGTTGTGTTGATTTGACTCTTTGGGCTCTCATGAAAATCCTCCTGCTTAAGTTCGGCAGGGTTTTTGTACTTCATATATCCAGCAGCAGCAGCAGAGGCTGTTGACATTTGGGGTAATAAACCACCAACAGCATTAGGCCCCACCAGAGACCTCTGTTGTTGCTGGTTATTGCCGGCATTGGGTTCAAGTTTTATATTGACCCCACCAGGCATGGAACCACTTGACATACGCTGCATACCACCACCACCACCGCCGCCGCCAGGATCATTTGTTCCACCTCCGGTAATGTTAAAATTTCCATATGAGGTATGGGTATTACCCAAATTTCCTGTTCCAACACCACCAGATCCAGCACCTCCTGCACCACCAGAAATATTCGGACCACTACTACCCATGCCCGTGGTGGCAGTTCCTCCCATATTATGTTGAAACATATTCATACGTTCTTGATCCCAGAATTTAAGTAGGGCCCGGATTGTCACCGGTATGGAGAGGCATTTTTGAGCTATACTTGTCAATTTGATTGACAACAGCTCATAGTTGTGACTAATGCTATAGATACTGCATTGTGGCTTCCCACTGCGTAAATCGAATTCCACCGTGGCCATTGATTCTTCGTAGGGATGTTGTAAAGCCACCGAGATTTGTTGGAATGAAATTGCATTGACCTCCAAGACGGTGGTGGATTCTAAATCTAAAAATACATTAAATCAGGGGGAAACAATTGAGTCTATTGAGAATCTCCCAGAAACTGTTTACAACTTACCAACTGCCACCTTGGCTTGGGGTCTTACACAGCTAGCCAGCAGAGAGTAAAACAATGCCATTTTCTTTAGAAATTCCAAAATCTTGTGTACCTGAGATGGCTCCGTAAAGGGCACCGAATGTATTAGGGTGGACTAAAAACAAATATGAATTGTAATTAAATATTAAATACAAATAATATTTCAAAGTAATACCCACCTTCATCAACTTATTCTCGGTGAAATAATAACAATGCGTTTGATCTGGCAAATGGACAAAGAGACCCTTTTGATTGGTCTTTGTCTGTTGATCCGATGCGGTTTGTATTATCAAACTCATAATATTGCTTACAACCGGTGGCTTATTTTGCGACTCAAGGGAAGTGGACATTGAAGGACTATTTTCATTTCCAGCCGCCGGACACAACCCCATGGCCCTTAGCGTGTTATAGCACACCGGCAAAGGTTTATTTAATCGCAACACAAATGTCGCCGGCAATAGCATGGAGTTCATTTGGGTCAATGGAGCAAATGCCGGCATATCCATGCCAGTCTGAGGATCTTTTGATAACGTCACAGTGGGCAATATTTGCAGTTTGTTGGCCGAGGAAGCTTCCAGATTGACTGTCACACTAAATCCTATACTTTTATTGTTAAATGTATCCAATGTTATGGGTTGAAGTGTCTTGCTTTCCACCGATATCAAGTCATAGGGAGACACAAAATACACCAATCTCATGGGATGGCCTCCACGTCGCTGCATTACAATGCCCACTGCAGAATCTTGCAAAATCTGGGCAGCATCTTTAGAGAAATTTTGCATTTGGAAAATATTATACAAATCCGTTTCCATGGCCTGCATGGCATCGTAGGCCTTTATTTTCACCTTCGATTCAGCATTTAGCTGATAGATCGAAGAAAACCCCTCCAGTTGGGCTGTGAAATCGGCAAAATCACCACGATTTAAACAATCCACCAATTCACTGCAGGATTGTTGTTCCACTTTGGATTCATGATGAACCTTGACATCTGTCAGCGAGCCATTGGAGTCCAACAAAATCTCCAAATAGAACATATCCGTTGAAATGAACAAAGCCTTTGAGTCGTCGGAAAATTTCAAACTCAATTGACGTGACAAACTTTCTAATCTCTCCACCAAACCCTGTCGCGAGGTGACCTTAATACAGTGCTGCATATTGTCCAGACATTTTTGCAAATTAGCTTTTTCCACAGCGTCTAGGGGATAACGTTTTTCCAGCATACCCATACGCATGGCCTTGGAGAGTTCCGGAAAGGTTTTGTGCTGTGACGAATGGGAACGTATTCGTTCCATTAGCAACTCTCGTTGCCATTGTTTATTCTTTTCGGCCGTGGCCGGTAGATTGGACAGAAGATTGGTGGTACCTACAAATATAGTTATAACAAAAGAAATGGATACTTAAAATTTCATCGAAGGCATCAGCCAGCCAGTCATCCATACCTCCTCCCACTCCAGTTAAAGGCTTAATATTTAATGCTGCCATATTGGCTTTGCAAAAGTACAGAAAATTTCTCTAATCTTAAAACCTTTTGTTTGTATAGGCACTTCTGCCTATATTTATGTATTTTCTATTTGTTTACACAAAATAATTTATTTTTCTTCCCAAATTTCCATCGTCCACTCCAATTTTTTCGAGTTTTTGCAAGTAAATTCTAAAACTCTCGAGTCTCGTTATGCTATGCTTGGCGTATGTCTTCTTCTTGCGCCATGGCCATTCACTGTTAATGTTAGCCCAAGTGAAGACAAAGAAAGCATCAAACAGCTGTTAAAGTATCGGCAATATTTGTGGTATCGAAATGATATCGATAGTTGTTGCATGAGAAAGTTTAGTGGGGGATACACACGCTATCAATTTTGCGCTATAATTTTGGAAATTTGTGAAAAAAAAATAATAAATAAATTGTTTAAACTTTTTTTTTTTGGTTTACAAAAAAACATATTATTGTTGGCGCGATGATTTCACATGTCGATGTGTGATACCAAAAAAAAAACGTCTCCAATAGGGAGGTAAATGGTTCGAAAAACTATAGAAACGCAGCCCTGAGCCTATTCAACAAGTTGTTTTCATGTTTTTAATATTTTTCCTTATATTTAAATTTTATTTAATAAGCTCGAAATGTGAATGAAATACCTTTCTTTCCACATTATTTTCCATACTGTTCAATCTACCAATTCCATGCTAAAACTGGTTAATATATTCAATATGCTACCCGCAATGCACATTTCTCCCAATCATTGAATTTAAAAAAATAAAAAAATTAGCAAAAATCTGGCACTCTTAAAAAATTTTAATCAGCTACCTTACCTGGTTGTATTTAAATAGCATGCATGGTAGAAGAATATAGGTAGATGCATTAACGCTTGGGAACATTGATATGTCAAAAAAATTTAAATGTCTTTTCAAATATAAGTAGATTTTAATATGTTTTCTTATATGACATCATTCGGAGTTTATTATAATACGTGTTTTTCAACAATTTTTACAAATTTTAATATTTTTTCATTCAACATTTTTAATTCCAAATTTCAGCTGTGTCGATGCGTATACCTATGTTCTTCTACCATGGATAGTCGCAAAGACACAGCTGCTTAGACAATGAACTGTCAAACAAATTATTTTTGGTAAAACATTTTTAATTTTTTTACATATCAATGTTCACAAGCGTTGATGCATCTACCAGTTTTCTTCTAACAAGTTAAATAGTATTTACGCAGATTTTTTATCTCCTTATTGCACTATGATTACAAAAATTACCAATATGATTGATAATGTGTATGCTCCCTAAGATTTGCATTAAAATGAACGACTTTGAACAAACTAGTTCCGTAGTTCTGTTCAGTTATTAGGCGCAATGAACAATTTCCCACGTGTTAACATACTGGAGTTGGAAATGTCTTTTCGTCATTTTTGGCTAAAGGAGATGGATGTAAATCTAATAGATCCACAAGTATCACATAAAATCGAAGGAGCACTAACCAAAAACTTGGCAACTGTGCAGAAGAATGTAAAATATGAAGCTAAATAGAGCAAAAGGTACGTCCACTTCTAGCAAAATATCTCTGCTATATATTTGCCCAAGGATGACAATTATCATAACCCAAAACTGAAAGAATTGATGAATTTTTTGTACATGCATCACCAACTGATTTGCATTGTACAGAGGATATTTGGTTTCCCATCTTTGAGAAAGTCTAATATTTTGCGTTTCTTTTTTCAGACAAATGACCAGAAAAAGCTGTATACAACTGCAATCTGTGACCTAAGGTAAGCATTTATACCCTAAATATGCCGTTATTTGGTGTGTTAGAGGATGACATTTTTCATAACCCAAATCCGAATACAAACGTTGACGATTTTTTGTACATGCATCACCAACTGATTAAAAATTTAATACAATTTTTTATATTGTTCCTAAAATATTTTCTAACCAAGGTCTCTCTTATCATTTTAGATTGGGGCCATGGAGTACTTAGCAGTAATAAAGTACATTTTTCGTGTATTACTGGAAAAATGATACAGGGTAAGTTTATTATTCAAATGAATATTATTTTAATGTTTCTTCGAAAGGATGACACTTTTCATAACCCAAATCTGAACTATTCGTTGAAGAATTTGTTTTACATGCATCACCAACTGATTAAAAATTATCCACATTGATTTATTTATTTATATAAAGATATGATTCTAAAATTATATTACTTTATATTACAGATGCATCCTGCATTCAACTGTTCTGGAAACTTCGAGTGCAATTTTATGAAGGTAAGTTCCTCACAAAAATGTTAAATACAAAACCGGGAATACATTTTCAAAAGCCATATTTTAAATTCCCTTCTAAATAGTTATAATTTCGAAAGGAATATCTAAAGCAGTAACAAAAATGGTCTTTTGAAAATATTTCCTTGACAAATTGTACTTTTTTTGAAGGATGACACTTTTCATAACCCAAATCTGAAAAACTTTGAAGATTTTGTTTTTACATGCATCACCAACTGATTGAAAAATTGTCATAAACATGCCTTTTTAAATAACCTAAGACTAAAGATAATTTTGTTCCTCATTTCAGATTCTCTCAATGGAACTGTTGTGGAAACCGTCTTTACTGAAAATCTAAAGGTAGGTTTAAAGTAGCTAAATAACATGCTCAATTAACTGTTTTTATTAATAATCAAAAAGCTCGAAAATCCAGAAAAATATCTGTAGAAAATTAACTTTGATTTGACCCAACAGGACACATATACTTGCCAAAAAAAAAAAAAAAAGATTTTTGAACTTTTAAATGTGAATTTACTTTTAAGGATGACACTTTTCATAACCCAAATCTGAACTCAACGTTGAAGATTTTGTTTTACATGCATCACCAACTGATTTCAACTGTCATTAATTTTTATTGTATTTACCTTCAGAACAAATATTAATCGTTTGATCTTTTCAATTTCAGATAATGTGAATTCCATTGGATCTGGAAAGTGGAGAAACATTTTACAAAAAGGTACGTACAAGACATGATACGAAGGTCTCTAAAATTCTAAATTATTCTAAGGATGACACTTTTCATAACCCAAAACTGAAAATAACCAATGTAGATTCACTTTTACATGCATCACCAACTGATTTGTATTATTCTTAACACTAATGATTTTGAAACTTTGCGCTGTATCTAATAATTTATTTTTCGTTTTTTACAGATAATGCCCAGAACACATGTGATTATCACTATCGACTTTTGGGACTAATATGGACATCAAAATTATAGTTATTGGCAGCAATTATGAAAAGGTAGGTTTGTATACCTCCACGATATTCAGATAAAGAAAATTCCTAAGGATGACACTTTTCATAACCCACAGCTGACAAATGCAATGAAGAGTCATTTTTACATGCATCACCAACTGATTTAGATTTTTCTTTAAAATAATAATATTTACTGCAAGAATTGTATACTAATGGATAACTTCTTTATTTACGGACTCCTTTAAGAATTTTGTTCTAAAAATGGACTGCCTGCCATCAAAGGAAGTGGTAAGTCTGGGTTTATTGTATTCTATAATAGTTTATAGAGGAATTAAATTGCTTTCCGATTAAGCGAAGCAAACAATTCGTTTGAATACACTTTGCCTGAATTCACTTAAAATGTCTGACCTATTTCCTATTAAAGAAATGTGAACTGCTTCTCTGATCGCAATAGAATACCATAAATATTTCAATGATGACAACATTCATACCCATATCTGAATTCAAATTTGATGAATTTTGTTTACATGCATCACCAACTGAGAGTTTATTTCCACTTTTAATTTTCAAAAATTTAAATATAATTTTTTTAAAAAGTACTCCCTTTATTTGCAGTTTTTTAAATGGATGCAATGCAACAGTCTATCAATAACAAACACGAACAAGGGCCCGAAGAGGCATGGCAACTAGAGCCAGACAAGCCTCGCGGCTTAGACGAGTCTTACAAGTCGATTTCACCAATAACAAGGATTTTTATTTATTTATTTATTTGTACCATGACAAGTGTACAAAGCCTTTAGGCCAATTAAAGCGAATACTATATGCTAAACAATATGATTCGGCAACTATAAAAATAATAATAAAAAACCAAATAAAAATATATATATACATAATATGAAATGAAAGCTAGTTTTCTTTAAAGCTAACATAATAAGTTTACATGATGAGTGAACTACTCCAACAAAAGGACATTTCAAAATGTCCTTATTAAAAAAGTATAATTAAGAAAAAATGAGATCAGGAAAAAACTATTAAATGTAAATAGGCATTCATGAAGATTCATTCTGAAAGTGCCCCAAGAATAATTAGAAAAGAAAAATAAATACAAACCACGCAAGGAAAAATTCATCTGAGAAACCACCATACTAATATGACTCCCAAAACTCAACTTATCATCAAGGAGAACCCCCAAACACAGAAGCTTAGAATCAAACTCAATATTTATATTGTTATACACAACGGACACTAATCTATTATTAAACGTGGCGAATGAAAGCGCCTTAGTCTTTGCCGGGTTAACACACAGATTATTATTATTCATCCAATCTAACAAAATATCCATGGCACAGTCAATCTTAGACTGAATTACTGATACAAAGCGAGTATCTCCTTTGAATAACAACTGAACATCATCAGCAAACGCAAATGGCTCACACAAAAATCGCAAATCAGAAAAAAGGTCATCAAGAAATAATATGAATAGAAGAGGACCCAACACCACCGATCCCTGAGGAACCCCACTCCTCACTGGCAAAATAGAGCTAACATTATTATTAACATAAACCAACTGTTTCCTATCAGACAAGTAGGAAGATATCAGTGAACATGCAGTGACCGAAAAACCATACAGCAAATTATTATTAATTTGCGCACTAACTTAATATGATCTACACGGTCGAAGGCCTTCTCCAAGTCAAGCGCCAACAGAACACAGAACCTGGAATTACCAAAATTGGCTCGAATGGTGTCAGTCAATCCAAGTAAAAGAGATGACGTACTTCTATTTTTTCTAAAGCCACACTGCGCATCATTTAGCAAATTGCAGCTATGCAAATGAAGCAAAATTTGCGACTTCAAAATATGCTCAACAACTTTGGAACATATGGGTAGTATAGATATCGGACGAAAATCTTGCAATCCACCAACAACATTTTATACCCTCCACCATACTATGGAGGGTATATTAACTTTGTCATTCCGTTTGTAACTCCTCGAAATACTCATGTCAGACCCAACAAAGTATATATATTCTTGATCAGCGTGAAATTCTAAGTCGATTTAGCGATGTCCGTCTGTCTGTCTGTCCGTCTGTTGTAATCACGCTATCTTTCGAATGAATTGAGATAGATGGCTAAAATTTTGCACACATGTTTATTTTTCCAGTAGGCAGGTTAAGTTCGTAAATGGGCCATGTAGGTCCACGTTTTCATATAGCTCCCATATAACGGTAACCCCCCTATATTCGGTATTTTGATGATTTTAGCGACGTTATTCACCGGAATTGTTTCAAATTTGGTATTTGAAGTTCCAAATGGATACTACACCCTAAGATAGAAAATTGTCTGTGCAAGTCTATGTCTTCGTATAGCCCCCATATAACGGTACCTCCCGATATTCGGTATTTTGATGATTTTAGCGACATTATTCACGGGAATTGTTTCAAATCTGGTATTTGAAGTTCCAAATGGATACTACACCCTAAGACAGAAAATTGTCTTTGCAGGTCCACGTCTTCGTATAGCCCCAATATAACGGTACCTCCCTATATTCGGTATTTTGATGATTTTAGCGACGTTATTCACGGGAATTGTTTCAAATCTGGTATTTGAAGTTCCAAATGGATACTACACCCTAAGACAGAAAATTGTCTTTGCAGGTCCACGTCTTCGTATAGCCCCAATATAACGGTACCTCCCTATATTCGGTATTTTGATGATTTTAGCGACATTATTAACCGGAATTGTTTAAAATTTGGTATTTGAAGTTCGTTATGGGAACTACAGTCTGTGACAGAAAATTGTCGGTGCGGGTCCAGTTTCGAATTTGAATATGGTAATGGCTTATGACAAACAATGCATATGTATGTCCACGTCGTATAGACCCCAATATAACGGCTATATTCGGTATTTTTTAAATTTTAACAGAATTTTTTAGGGATTTTATTTTTTGAAAATTTCCAAATTCGTTGCAAATGGTGGAGGGTATTAAAAGTTCGGCCCGGCCGAACTTACTGCTTTTTAACTTGTTTCTTCTTAACTGGAACAATTTTTGCTAACTTTTGAGTCATAACTCCTCGCCATCACCAATATGGATATCACTTGGGGTGCAGACAAGGAGATCGTGGTGATTAGCTATGCAGCCACAATATGATCTGCATGAATTTGATATTATTGAATTGCTTTGAAAGGTACTCTTTCTGATACTACCCATCTCAGCAGAGCATTTTGTAACTAAAGAAGGAGAGCTATGGAAATTATTGATAGTTCGAAATTCGTATTGCTTAAAACATATTTATTGTTTATTTTGTATTTCATGATATAGTTGTTCTCTACAATACAATAATTATAACTAAAAAAAAAACAAAAATAAAATAATTATCAATAATTTAACAGTAAAAATCTCTAAATAGAGCGACAAAACGCACTTTACAATTTAAACTAAAATCTATTACAGACATTTCGATATATCTATGTATGTTTTTTCTTTATTCTAATAACAAATAATTCTCAAAGAAAATCATGCACAAACTAAAACCCAAGAAAATACCAAAATTATTCCATTTTAAATCAAACCCCTGACCACCATTACGCAAAGTATTTGAGCCAGTAAAACTGGGTTTACTCGCACTCGCTGACGACCCAATGGCTCTGGCCTTTTTGAAACTTTCATAATACCAATCCATGCCATCTTTACGATCTATACGATCAATGCTACTACCACCGGCCGGTTCATCACGCTTCTGGGCATTAGCCGTTAGCTGAGGTTCTTCGGTTGGTTTGTTCTTCAGCGATGGCGTTGTGCGTTGATATTCCTCGGCCGTGGGCAGATGGGAATGATGTTGATGATGATTCAGGGCAGCTTGTGGGGTAAACACTTTGGTTACCGTGGAGCGGGCCGCACCACCCGGTCTGGGTAGATACGGCAAGGGTGGGGCAGTTGTGGAACTAAACTGCTGTTCTCTTTTAGTTCCCACTGTTGTGCTGCTCGGTTTCGCCGTTGTCATGGTTGTTAAATAATCATTTGTCTCCTCGGAATCTTTTGGTTTTGGCGTGGTGTGCATCCAGGATTGCCTTTTAATTTGTTCCACCAACTCCTCAGGTGGTGGTATAAGGAGTATGGTTTCGGATGTTGTGGTTTGTATGAATGGGGGCGGTTTCATCATTGTCACCGATTGAGCCTCCAGATCATCATAAAATTCGGATTCCTCAAAAGAATCTTTGCTCATCGAAGGTATATGAGTGGTGGTGCTGGTAGTACTTGTGGTACTGCTGGTCATGGGAGCCTTGGTGGTGGTTGTTGTGCTAGTTGTTGTTGTAGATTGTAGACTTGCTTGATATTTTCTCAATGTTGTCATGGGCCTATAGGTGGTGGTGGTTTCCTCAATTTCCTCCTCTGTAACGTAGTAGGTATGCGAGTCTATTTCCTGTGACATTGTGGAGTCTGTGGTTATGGGAGGATGTGTTGTTGTTGTTGTTGGGCTACTTGTTATTGTATATATTTCCTCAGAATTGGGAGTTTTATATTTCACCTCAGGACTCACATTTAATTTATTCAGGCGTTTCGTTTTGTCCACCTTCAGCGAGGTAGGAGCCACAACTTCAATGGTCCCCTTCCGTTTTGAGGGATCATGTACCGGCATAAAACCTCCCACACTATGTTCCGGAACAATAGGCTTAAAACCACCCCTTTCCACACTGGAAGGCACCCGAAACCCGGTCTTAAAAACGCTGGAAGGACTTTCCGAACTACTTGAGGTTTCATCCGACGAGGTATCCGCCACATTTTTCCTACCATTTACATCAACATATTGAGGATTGTCCTCAGTGTCATCTTTGTTCTTGAGATATTTTTCAAACTCCGCACTATTGGGTTGATACATCCGTACCTTGCCATGCGAGCCGGTGAACATGCGATGTGTAGCTGGCATTTCAGTGCTGGTAGTGGTGGTGGTATGAGATTTTGGCCCCTGGAATACAGAATCGCCCTTTTCACCACGATCTTTGCGACCCCTTTCATTGGCCCCAAAAAATCTACCCAAACTTATACTGGGTATGGGATAACCAAAGAATGTAAAGGGCGAAGATGAATAGGGTGAGATGGGTTTCTTTTTAAAATAGTTCGTATTCAAAATGGTATTGTTCAAGTCCACATTGGGACTAACAGAGGTGGCTGGATGGTTGGGCTTTTTGTGGGTATGCAGTAAGGTATTGCTGCTCGAGATGTGGGAACCCAGGGCAGGGTTGTCATTTGTTGTTGGCTGATGATGTTGTGGCTTTTGCTGATGTTGTTGCTGTTGTCCCGTTTCATTGGCCCCCGGTGGATAGTCGACATATTGATCATAGAAATATTCACTTTCCCCGGCCAGTGGCCTTTCGGCTGGTGGCAATTCATAGGCCTCACATTCGTCATTATATTCCTGTAGCTCTCTTTGGAAAATATCACCATGTTCATTGAGCAGGGGTAAATGATTGAGAACTCCAGCTCCAGAGGTTTCACTGAATGGTCCACCATTACGTTGTTGATTATCAGCCAAGCTATTGCAGAGATTCTTGTCGATGCGAGAAGCCCGCAATAATCGACCATCTTGACACCTAGGCCCCGGATAGGGGAAATTAGTTTCCTGCAGCCACACGGAAAGCCATTGCATTTCACAGGTGCACTCAATGGGATTGCCTGGCGGGGTAGAGAAGAGCAAAAGAAAAGATTTAATTTGGGAGCATTGTCATTGGAGGAGGTTTTAAAGATCGCAGAACTTCTAGGGAGCTCTTCCCAAATAGTATATCATCTAGAGTTTGCCATAAAGATATTATCTTAAAGGTCAGATGGGAGAGGCCTGCAGGATTTTTTATGAGTTTTATGAGATGTAGTAAATTTAGAGAAGATCTTCTGGAGATATTCTAAAGTTGGAAGGCCTTCAGTGTAAAAAATAACTTCTAAAAACCTCTTCTAGATAGGAGAAATTTTAGAAGACTAGGTCTAGGAAGGGTCTTCTGCTGATTAAGATGTTCCCATATGCAGAGACAGCATATTTGGCGATCCTTCGTGACTGGAGGACTATTTAAATGTTTGCTATTGGCATAAAACTTGTTGTGGAAACATCTACCTTGCACAGGACACCCTTGTAAGGCTGTCGTAGACCTTTACAATTACCTCTGCCCACGCAAGCCCACTGAAAGGTCTCTTCCACATCAAGAATGTCTTCAAAAGGTGTAAGACCCCCAAGAGGTTTCAATAAAATCAGTTAAGCACATTTCACAGAAAGAAATGCAGCTTTAGCCCCTCTACATATTAAAGAACTTCTAGAGGATTTTATAGGAAGAAGTGGTCCTTTATCAATTGACGTCTTTTTATGCTGTTCTGGAGTTTAAGGACCTCTACGACCCCTTTCTCTAAATAAAAGCTTTTCTAGAATATATGGCTTTATAATTGTCTTCTATTCACAGACGATTTTCCAAAGTCTTGAAATAGAGGATATTTTTTATGTCTTCCACAAATCGTCTTGAGGTCATTTGTAGGAGCAAGTTTTTCAGTATTTTGAATACCAGAACATTTCTAGAAATAAAAGTCATTCTAGGAATCTATTAAAAATTAAAGACATAATCTTCTTGAGGGCTTCTTTTAATAGAATTCCTGCTTGGGATCTGTACTATTTTTCCCATCTCCTCCAACTTACCATCCATATCAATTATGGCAATGTTGCCGCGCAAATTCCGGAAGGTCCTCTCTTGAATGGAACGCAGACGATTGTTGCGCATCGATAATACCCTCAGGCGAGGCATTTGTTCGAATGGTGAACCCTAAAGGAAACCAATAAAAATTACCAAAATATTTTAAAAAATCCAACCTCTCCTCCCCCCCCCCCCCCCCATCACCTCACCTGTATGCGACATATTTCATTGTTATCCATTTTCAATTCCACCAACCAATTGAGCATTTTCAGCGGCATTGTGGGCACGGTGCGCACTGCATTTGTGGACAAATCCAAAACCTCCAGATTACGCATTGTCCTCAGGCCAATACTTTCCATGGTGCGAAAATGATTATTCGAAAGATTCAGGAAAACCATGGAGGGAGAGTTGAAAAAACTTTCCGACGAAATAAATCTCAAATTGTTATATTGGAAATGAGAGGCCAAGAGATTGGGTAAATCCTCGAAAACATGGTCCTTTAACTCGGCCAATTTGTTGTCGGCCAAAACAAATTCCTGTAACTCGGGTAGGTTCTTAAGGGCCCCCGCTTCCACATGACTTATTTCATTGCTGGAGAGATCGAGATATTGCAATTTCAGTAAATTCCGGAAGGTTCCACGTTTCAACTCCGTAATTAAATTATTCGAAAGTCTTATTTCCACAACTTGGCGCCAGGAGGCAATGACCTCGGTATTGATGTGAGTTATTTGATTATAGCTAAGATCAATGTCTTTGAGGCTCAACAAATTTGCCAGACTTATGGACATATCGTTAAGGGCATTTGAGGATAAATCTAGATACTCTAAAGATTTTTGCACCTCAAAGGCACCCGGGGCTATGCTGCGTATGGTGTTGCGTGATAAATCCAATTGTTCCAGTTTCGAGTTGTTGGAAAATAGATTATCGCTTATGGAGGATAACTTATTGGCCTGCAGATTGAGATTCCTCAACTCCGATAGGGGCAGGAAACAACGTTCATCCAATTGCATTAATTGATTTTCCTGCAGATGCAACAACTCCAGGCGATAGGATCCTATGAACACGGTATCGTCCAGGGAACGCAGACGATTGTAGGACAAACTTAGAACCCTCAATTGGGGTAGACCTTGAAAAGCATATTTGGGTAAATGTTCCAAACGATTCAAACTCAAATCCAGCATTCTCAAGTTGGGTAAATTTAGGCTTTTCGCCGTAAGGGAGGGTAAATTGCTTATCAAATTTCCCCGCACCGAAATGCGTTCCACGATTTTTGGCAGTCCTGGGATTATTTCATTCAATTGATTAAAGCTAGCATCTACCTCAAAGAGGCGATCCAAGTTCCTAAATGTGGCCGGGTGTAGAACTTTCAAATCATTTATGGAAATATTCAATGTTTCCAACATGGAGTTATGGACATATGTTGTGGGATCCATTTTCATTAGGCCATTTTCACTCAGATCCAAACGCCTTAGCGACGGCAGGCCGGCCAAGAGAAACGAGTCTACAATACGAAAATTATTCAACGACAAATCTAAACCTTTCAATCCTGGTAGATTCCAAAAGGGCATGGGCAAGTCATGACTTAAGCTGTTATTCCTTAGACGTAACTCCCTCAGGGCAGGCATGGCCATCAAGGCCTCTCTTTCTATGGTCCTCAAGAGATTATTGTTAATATGCAGCTGTTCCAGGGTACCATGTCCCCTCAATGCCCCATAGTTTATGTCCCTCAGGAAATTATTGCTGATATCCAAAAATTTCAAGGCCGGCAAGGCCTCTAGTAGTGATCTCAACTCTCCAGTATCATCAATTTCATTGTTATAAATATACACTGTTTCCACTCCCGATCCTGAGGCCTGCATGAATGATTCCGGGTGGATACGTTTGATATGGTTATTGTGTAAATATATTGTCTTCAGCATGGGCGTCCGTAGAAATGCTCCATATTCAATTTGTGTTATCCGATTATCATTTAAATGCAGTTCCGTCAGATGTGGTAAATCCACAAACGATCCATCCTCTATGATATTGATAATATTATGATCCAAGCGTATCTTTTTCAGATTCTCCAAATCCTTGACCAGTCGCCCAATCATGCCCACATCACTGATTTGATTATAGGACAATTTCAGGCTCACCAAATTCGGCAGACGGGCAAAGGCCCTCAAATGGATCCAATTGATGCCATTACGACTGAGATCCACATTTTTCAAAGAAATCAAACCATCAAAAAGCCCCGCCTCCAGGCGATTAAGATTTTCGCCTCCCGTTATGTGGATATTCTGTAACTTGGGTAAATGTCTAAACCACAGGGGTTGCAATTCGTTCAGCGACCGGCTTTGGACACTGAGATATGTTAGGCTCAGTAAACCCGAAAAATCGGGTAGATGCTTCAATTCTTCGCTCTGTATGGTTATGGCCACCATATTTATCATCCCATTGAGACTTTCCACGGGAATGCTGCGCAACTGTGGCTCTACAATATATATCTCCACTAGGCTATTTTCCAATTCGTTGAGCCAGCCATTGGAGACCCGTTCTATGCCATTGTAGCGCAGCATAAGACGCACAATTTGTAGGGTGCCAAAAAAACGACCCGGCAGGGCAGGTAATTGATTATTCTCCAGCACCAATTCATCAATGGAACCTTTTATATTGCGCTCCACCGCCTTGAGGCCATCCATTATTTGGGGTAAATTGCTGTGAGAGCACCTGGAAAGATGAGGCAAAAATAAAATCAGCCGTTATTTTTCTTTTAATTTGGGCCTGGCCTTACCATATTTGAATCTCCTTGCCCCTTAGCGAACAGCGACATGGCAAAATAGCTTCAGATGGCGGGCAACCTTCGGCCCTTGTACTTACAATTAAATAACACAAAATCCAACAATACAACAAACAGTTATACCAATCTGGCCATGGACCATTTGTCCGACGATTGCAAAGTTTTTTCTTCATTGTTAACGTCACTTCAGGGCGTTGATGTAGGTCATCTAATGTTTGGAAAATGATGCTGAAATTTTGCCACTTAAGTCATTTTGCATTTCTTCAGCAATGGCTTTCATGCCGATGCCAAACATTTTCATAAACTGTAAAGAAAGCAAAGGAACTTTTTTGTTAATCCAAAAACCAAAAAGAGATGTATTTAAGAAATAAAAAAAATGGAAACAAATATGGCGTCTTAAGTTTTTTTTGTGAATGGATGGATTTCAACGGAAAAGCATGTCATTGAACATAGCTTCAAAAAAAAAAAAAACAAACAATCTTGGTCTTGGAATGCTTCATAAATTTGCTCGCGACGATGACGCTGATGATGATGATGTTATAACACTTGTTGTTCGCTTCTTGTGTGCCAAGGAAGCCTTTATTGTCAGTTTTGCCAAACGATGAAAATGGAAAATGTAATGATGAAATCTTGTGGCCCACATTGTGTGCTTGTAGTGGTAATGATGCCTGGCATTTGTGTTTGTATTTTTTGGCATGGCTCAGCTCAGCCAAGCGCATGCACAACATTACAACACTTGTTTACACTTCAACAATGCTAAACAAAGCAACTCGGTTTTTGTTTTGAAAGCTTGTGTTTGTGGCTTTTAAAGAGGGTGAAACTGTGGTTAGGTTTGGGTGAAAACCGAAGAATTCCTCTTAATGAATTTGAAATCCGCGAAGCTATGTTAAAGTAGATGGTGCTCAGAGGCCATCTACCGGAGAATAGAAAAGATGGTATTATCCAAAGTAAATGGGCTTAGAGGTAGATGGGGTGAAATGTCTTTTACTGTAGAATAGTTGATAGATGGGGATATTTAAGCATAGTAGAAGAATACAGGTAGGAACATTGATATGTCAAAAATTTTCAAATGTTTTTTTTTCAAAAATAAGTAGATTTCTAAATGTTTTCCAATACGACGTTAATCGGAGTTTGTTATGACATTAATTTTTTAACAATTTTTACAAATTTAAATTATTTCTCATTCAAAATTTTCAATTCCAAAATTGGTTTGACAGTTCCATGATAGAATTAAGAAGGTAAAGTCATGTTTTCCTATACGACGCCAAACGGTGTTTGTTATTACATGCATTTTTCAACTATTTTTACAAATTTCAATTATTTCTCATTCAAAATTCTTCAATTTCAAAATTGGTTTGACAGTTCCATGGTAGAATTAAGAAGCTAAAGTCATGCAATCATATGTTTACAATTTTTTCAAAATTATTCATTCATATGTCATTGTCAAATTTATATTTATAATTCCATTGTATACACAGAAATCAGAGATGGGAATCTGTTTTTTATTCAGAGAAAGGTGATAAGGCAAATTACAGAAAATGCAGAGATGGATGGACTTAACCTTCTTAATTTTACCATGGACAGTTGTGAAGTACATGACTTTAGTAGATATGTACTTTTTCCATCACAGTGAGCCCTATTTTCATCGCAAAAATATAATTCAATCAAAAGTGTTGTTTGCTTGTTGTGTGAAAATTCATAATAAAGTATTATACCTTTTTAAGAAGGCATAAAATATTACCACAATGAAAACAAATAAAATAAAAGAAACATATGCAAGTGTGTGATAGCAAGATAGAGTCATATGTAAAGTGACAATTTTGACATACACACGAAAATATACATGTGTAAAAAGTGACTGCACATATGTAAAACCCTTATCGTCTGATAGCAGCTAAATGTAGATTAGACCGGCTCAGAGGCCATCTAATATGGAGTTAATGGGCTCAGAGGCCATCTAGCATAAAAATGACCTAATACGCCCTGCACACCGTCACTTAAATTACGTATTTTACGAAGATTTATTTGACGTTTAATCAAAATAATTGACAATCTTAATGCCGCATTTTACGGAAATAGGTTCACTTCAAATAAAAGTACGTTTAGATGTACGAAACCCGCTCGCTCTCAAATGTCAATTCCATAGCTTATACGTCAAATTTGAAAGTCGAATTCATTTGACATATACGTAATGGAATTGACATATAATATCCATACGATTTAGTAAGTGTAAACGTACTTTTAGTGAGGCATTTGATATCATTCACAATATGTGTTAAAGAAAAAATATGCTACTTGGCCACACACCAAATCCTTGTAAATATTTGCAGAGAAAATTAAATTTTACTTGTAACAAATCAATACTAAGACCAACTGATTTCAAAACGCATACCAATGGAAAAAAACCTTTGAAAAGGTAAATAAACATTTTTCAGTAGGTTTTCCGTTGTCACTTAAACCCCGTAAACACAGGGGGGGGGGGGGGGGGGGGGGGGCGAACTGTTACTTCCATTGAGTATACGTCAAATGAAATCAACTGGATTTGAGGGCCGATTTCGTTTAACGTAAAGTACGTTTAGACTTACTTACTTAATAGAGTGGATTTCAACTGTCACTTTCATAGCGTATATATCAAATGAAACCAACTGGATTTTAGAGTCGATTTCATTTGACGTTTATGCAATGGAATTGATCTACTCGATTTAGGAAGTCTAAATGTACCTGTATACGCAATGGAGTTAAAGGTCGATGTGCAAAGTACTTTTACATGATCTGCCTAATGGACCTTAAGGTGCAAGTACATAAAAAGCTTGAAGTCATGGCTAGGCATGTTAATGTTAAATTATAATGGAAAACGACGGCAGGATTTTATCCCTGTAATCTCTTTATCAAATGTCACAAAATATGCCTAGCCATGACTCCAAGCTTCTTACATGGTAGAAGAATATAGGTAGACGCATCGACACAGCTGGGACAATGAACTGTTAAACCAATTTTGGAATTGAAAATGTTGAATGAAAAATTATTTAAATTTGTAAAAATTGTTGAAAATCACGAATGAAAATAGCCTCCGAATGACGTCGTATAAGAAAATATACAAAAATCTACTTATATTAGAAAGAACATTTATAATTTTTTTGAAATATCAATGTTCCCAAGCGTTGACGCATCTAACTGTATTCTTCTACCATGGCTTCTTATGTACTTACACCTTTAGTTTTAGGTGAGGATTAGACTTAAGTACCAAATGTCAATTCCATAGCGTATAAGTCAAATAATATCCACTGAATTTATAAATACGTTTTACGTGACGTATACGCTATTAAAATTGACATTTAAAATCGAGTGGGTTTAGTAGTCTAAACGTTCTGTTTAGGTTTTTTCTTCTGTACGATCTATTTTTCTTGTTTCATACCACTGTGGCCCCAAAACGCAACATTGTACTTTATAAATACTGTAAATTTCCTAATTTTGTTTTTTCTTTTTGTATCGTTTTTTATTGCTGTTGTTGTTGCTGAATTTTGCAATCGATGATGATTTTCTTGGTGTTGGTATTCATATAAATATGATTATTTGTTGTTGCTTCTTTTTTTGTTTGTGATTACATCTGATGTGCGCATGTGTACCGCACACAAACACCCACCCCAAACATACACAGTTAATACAACACCCTCCAAGAGGTTTTCGTATATGAAACAACACCGAGCAACCACAGCAACGCGCCACAATCATCCATCAGCCATCATCATCATCATTGCCTTCACCAACAACTGCAAACGAAGACAACGTTCAAGTTCCGTTCTTTGTGCCGAATATGAGTCAGATAACGATTTTGAAATTTTGTTGCAAGATTGCATCAAACGAACCTTGAAATGATTGTCATGTTATACGTCCGCCTCCCCGTCGCCATTGGCGTCAAAAGTACAACAGTACAATTCGAAATTTCTATTTAAATGATGGCAACAATGTTTTAAAAGAAGCTGTACTGAAAAGTGAGGTTATATTGATGCGGGGAAATATTTGGGTCTTAAATATTAATATACCAGAAAGGAAAACTCCTTATGATCATTTAGGTGAATAAAAATGTAAACAGTTCTTTGACATTTAATATGGCTAGTAAATTTACCATGGTATAATAAAAATAATAATAGATACCAGCTTTTCAAAATGAATCGAAGTGTCAATATTTGTTTACAAAGCTCTCATAAATGCTGAGCATACATAACAAATCCATTGGATTCCAACTGTCATTTCATTAGAGGATATGTCAAATAAAATCCACTATATTCGAGAGTCGTATACACAATGGAATTGACAGTTGAAATCCACTCTATTTAGTAAGTGTAAACGTACATCACATATATACACACAATTTATGTAATAAATGTTTGAAACCATTTCTTGTTCACTTTCGATTTTATGCCATATTCTGTATGTATTAAGCAAGATATGTATTTCCAAGCTATATAATCTGTTTGAAATATAGATGTCGCTGTTCAAATAAAGATTACATTATTTTCTCATTTATGGTTATATTGAGTATAGGGCAATTCTGCGGAAAGGGTTTCATTTTAGAGCATAGCTGTTAAGGGAAGAAATATTCTAAACTAAATTCTACTATGAGTCTCCAAACAACATAAAACTGTATTTTCAACAGAAATCATAAAAAAGTCGGATTAAATTCGGCTAAATGCAAGATTTTAAGTTAATTGCTTTATTGGTGATTATAGCAATAGAAAAATAACACACTGCAACTGAAGCATAGATGGCGTTCTGTATAATTCTATAGAGACCAGTTCTCATGCTCTCCAATGCACAATTTCATGTTTCAGTCTCAATAATATGTTTGACATGTAGATGCCGCTGCATATATATTAAGATAAGTGCATTTTCTCATTTAGGGTTAATTTGAATTTGGGTCAAATATTTGTAGAGAACTTCATTTTAGGGTGTAGGTGCAAAAGGGAAAAATACTCCTAGCTAAATTCTGCTATGAGTCGTCGACCAATATAAATCGCTATTGTTAATAGCAATCCTAAAAATTGAGAAGAATTTAAGCAATTTAATAAAATATATATTTTTGGGAATTTGTTTAGTCTTTCCGTATTTTAGCCTTCAGTTCCATAGGGGTTAATTCTAGGGGAATAGTGTCAAAAGAAAAAATACTCCTAACTAAATTCTACTATAAGTCGTCAACCAACACAAATCGCTATTGCTAATAGAAATCCTAAAAAAATTGAGTAGAATTTGAGGAAATTAAAAAATATATATTTTTTTAGTCTTTCTTCATGTTAGCGATTAGTT